GTCCAGTGTTATGGATGTCAGTATTTAATGGTCACTATGGTTACTTGTGTTATTCACGACTATCCCTAGACTTGACGTTAATAATTCATTCATGCAGAATGTTCCTATAAACTTTTATTAATAAAAATTATGATTGGCAGTGCAAAAATAGCATCTCAAAAGAGATCACAGTTTAATTTAATCTTGGTTTAATCATACTGACACATTTTTTTCCAGTCAAATTATGAAAGCGTGTTTCAACTTTTGTCATCCAGCAAAAAAAGAAAAGAAGAAGCATCAGTCATCCAGCGAGAGTGACGACGACTCTTCCTCAGACAGCTCCTCGGACTCAGAGGAATCAGAGAAGGAGAAGAAACGACGTAAGAAACATAAGAAGGAACACAAGAAAAAGAAAGAACAGAAACACAAGAAGAAAGACAAGAAAGGGTACAGTCACCTTTTACACATTTATGATGAGAATCTTTCACCCTGCAACAACGCTAATATGAAATGCTTCAAAATTTGAAGTATTTACTTTCCACATGTGTTGAGCACATAATTACTAAAAGCTCAACACAGTACCAAAATTATCACAGACAAAATAAACAGTCTTTTAAAGTTCTACATTTTAAATTTATCAATAATATATAACAATGTCTGAAATGATTTTGCCAACCAATAATTCGTGTTTTTGTTTTTGTACAAACCATGTTCATCATTGCTGAAAGTAAATTTTAATGTAGCCTGGGATGTATTTTCATTTATCTTTGTCTAGTTTTACTCATGGTTTTTCGCACCAGAAATCTATAGAGTTTGTTTGGATGCACAACCTGTGACGAGAGCAAAACAAGATGTGGGTTTTCCTTTCTTTAAAAAATTTCAGATGGCTGTTTATTTTCATACACTACATAGTATCATGAATAGATAATTCTATGGTTCATTTCATTTCATTTTTTGCACTTAATGCTGTTTTTGCCTTCTGTCCACAACTTCTTCAGAAGAGTGTAAGAATTTTAACATGTCTTTTTCTGTAGGTCTGATGAGGAAGAGGCTGACCCCCAATCCGTGTCGACCATCCGCCCAGAGGAAGTCCCGCCCATTCCAGAAAACCGCTTCCTAATGAGGCGAAGCCCCCAGAAGGCCAAAGAAGAGGAGCAGGGGAAAGAAAAGCACAAGGAGGACTCTGGGAAAGACAGACAAGGAGAAAGAGACAGGGAGAGAGAGAGGGAAAGGGACAGGTAGGATGTGATATTTTAATACTTCATTCAGTAGTATGTTGTGTAGGATCATTTGTTGTACAGACATGGATGAAATGTTTGTTGTGTGATTTTATTATTTTCCTCTCCTGTTCGTAAATATACGATTGACTTGTGAAATTGAAATGTTTCCTCTTGCCATGAATATAGCCACTGC